CAGGGTCCCAGGCCAGGGGTGGGAGGAGGGGGGAGGGGAGTCCCACAGGTCTAGGCTCCCCATGGTGCCAGCGTTTTAGGGGAGCTTCCTGCACCCCACATAAACATCAGCCAAGCCCCCCATGTGATTCCCAGTCCACTCAGCTAGCAGCCCCGCCCTGCCTCAGTCTCCCCCACAGCATGCCTTCCCCACCCCCACAAGCAGCAGTCCCCTCCCCCACTTCCTCGCACCCCTCTGCTGGGATGTGGGCAGCCTGTGTCCTGGCCCCCGTGTGTGTGCTGTCTGTGTGTCTCTGTTGTGTCTATGTTATCTGTGTCTGTGTTGTCTGTGTGTCTGTGTTGTCTGTGTGTGTGTCTCTGTTGTCTGTGTCTGTGTGTCTATGTTGTCTGTGTGTCTGTGTTGTGTGTCTGTGTGTGTGTGCCTGTATTGTCTTGTGTGTGGCTGTGTGTGTGTCTGTGTTGTCTGTGTCTGTGTTGTCTGTGTGTCTGTGTCTGTGTTGTCTGTGTGTCTGTGTTGTATCTGTGTGTGTGTGTGTCTGTGTTGTCTGTGTGTCTGTGTTGTGTCTGTGTTGTGTGTCTGTGTGTCTGTGTGTCTTGTGTGTGGCTGTGTTGTGTGTCTGTGTGTATCTGTGTGTGTGTGTGCCTGTGTTGTCTTGTGTGTGGCTGTGTGTGTGTGTCTGTGTTGTCTGTGTGTCTGTGTCTGTGTTGTCTGTGTGTCTGTGTTGTATATGTGTGTGTGTGTGTCTGTGTTGTGTCTGTGTGTGTCTGTGTGTGTCTGTGTCTGTGTTGTCTGTGTGTCTGTGTCTGTGTTGTCTGTGTGTCTGTGTTGTATCTGTGTGTGTGTGTGCCTGTGTTGTCTGTGTGTCTGTGTTGTGTGTCTGTGTTGTGTGTCTGTGTGTCTGTGTGCCTGTGTTGTCTTGTGTGTGGCTGTGTGTGTGTGTCTGTGTGTATCTGTGTGTGTGTGTGCCTGTGTTGTCTTGTGTGTGGCTGTGTGTGTGTCTGTGTTGTCTGTGTGTCTGTGTCTGTGTTGTCTGTGTTGTATATGTGTGTCTGTGTGTCTGTGTTGTGTCTGTGTGTATCTGTGTGTATGTGTGCCTGTGTTGTCTTGTGTGTGGCTGTGTATGTGTCTGTGTTGTGTCTGTGTCTGTGTGTCTATGTTGTCTGTGTGTCTGTGTTGTGTGTCTGTGTGTATCTGTGTGTGTGTGTGCCTGTGTTGTCTTGTGTGTGGCTGTGTGTGGCTGTCTGTGTTGTCTGTGTGTCTGTGTGTCTGTGTTGTGTGTCTGTGTTGTGTCTGTGTTGTCTGTGTGTCTGTGTGTCTGTGTTGTGTGTCTGTGTTGTATCTGTGTGTGTGTGTGCCTGTGTTGTCTGTGTCTGTGTGTCTGTGTTGTGCCTGTGTTGTCTGTGTCTGTGTGTCTGTGTTGTGTGTCTGTGTTGTATCTGTGTGTGTGTGTGCCTGTGTGTCTGTGTTGTGTGTCTGTGTGTCTGTGTTGTGTCTGTGTTGTCTGTGTGCCTGTGTGTCTGTGTTGTGTGTCTGTGTTGTATCTGTGTGTGTGTGTGCCTGTGTTGTCTGTGTCTGTGTGTCTGTGTTGTGTGTCTGTGTTGTGTGTCTGTGTGTGTGTGTGCCTGTGTTGTCTTGTGTGTGGCTGTGTGTGTGTCTGTGTTGTGTGTCTGTGTTGTATCTGTGTGTGTGTGTGCCTGTGTTGTGTCTGTGTCTGTGTGTCTGTGTTGTGTGTCTGTGTGTATCTGTGTGTGTGTGTGCCTGTGTTGTCTTGTGTGTGGCTGTGTGTGTGTCTGTGTTGTGGGTGTGTGTGCTGGTTGTGGGGCTTGAACCTGGGGCCTGGGCACTGTTCCTGAGCCCTTTTGCTTAACGCTGGTGCTCTACCACGTGAGCCATAGCACCACTTGTGGCGTTTTGCTGGTTCACTGGGAGTCTCAAGCACCTTCCTCCCCGGGCTGGCCCTGAGCCACCACTCAGACCTGAGTCCCAGGCCCGCCACCTTGCCAGCTCCTCCCTCTCAGCAGTGCACCCCGCCCCATCTTGTTTGTGGGGTGTCCCTAAGTCCCTACTCAGGCCAGGCCCCCTTCTCTACCGTGGGACCCTGGCCCGCTCTGGGGCCACTGAACCCACAGGGCTCCCGCTGAAGAGAGGCCCCAGCCTCAGTTTCTCTGTCTGGCAGGCCCCTCCCACTCCCCTCCAAGGATAAAATACCTCGAGGGGGTGGAGTTAGTTCCCTTGAAGGAGCGGGTTGTTCCCTGCTGGCCAACGCATTCATTCCTTCACAGGTTCAGGAAGTCATTCATTCCTTCACTGGGGCAGGAAGGAAGCCAGGCCCGCAGCCTGGGGTGGGGCCGGCCCAGGCCCCAGGCCCAGGTGGGGACATTTCCCCCAGCAGCCGCAGGGGCGGGGCCGGGTCTGGAACCCGGGCCTCACCTGAGGGCAGTGGGGGCCTGGGACCAGTCCTTGGGTCTGGGCTGGCCTCCAGGGCCTGGCTGGTTCAGTGACCCCCCAGACACAGACACGTCCTGGTGAGGTGCAGGCCTAGCCCCCCACTCCGGGCTCCCAGGAGGCCACAGGTCAGGTTCTGTCCTTTGGAGGTTTCAGGTGGTCCCCATGGTGCGTGGCTTTAGGGCGTGGTGTTCTGTCCTGGGTGACGGGCGAGTCCCAGAAGACGGGGTGACTGAGGTCAGCAGCGGATGGTGCCCAGCAGGCGGCCGGGTGCCCCTCTGCGTAGGCCCCTCCAGGCTGGCCCCCCCCCCCCCCCCCCCCGCTGCTTTGTCCCCTCTCAGTCAGTCCACCCGTGAACCTCACACATCCCCAGCCAGGCCCATGGTCCCCACTGGAGAGGAGCCAGGGCCTGGGTCCCTGGCTGGGCAGGCCTGTGGGGGCTTCACTGTAACCCGATCCCCAGGAATGCCGCTCCCAGCGAGGGTCTGCACCTGGGGCCCCTCCCCGGGCCCCTCGCCCGCCCCTCGGTTAACCCCTCTTCCCTCTCTCTGTGTGGGATTCCCGGTGTCTGCCAAGACCCTGGGAGGCGCGGGTTGCTTTAAGCCAGAAAGTGGAGGCCTTGGTGCCGGGGAGGGCCCCTCCAGGCAGGCTCTGGGGGAGCCCTCCCTCCTGGCCTTGGGCCTTGGCTTTTAACCTGGGAAACTGACCCCACCCCCACTGGGCCCTCTCCCCCTGGTTGGAGGGGTCCTGCCTCCCTCCCGCCTGGCCCAGGCCTCGGGTCTGGGGGCTCCGGCCCTGACCCCGGGAGGCAGAGGAGTCCTGGGAGGGGTGGCTGCTCCTCTCTGGGGACTCCTCTGGGGAGGGTCTAGGAGGAGGCTGTGTGGTGGATTTTTTTTTTTTTTTCAATCTGTCCCAGGGCTTGAACTCTGGGCCTGGGCGCTGTCCCTCAGCTCTTCAGCGCAAGGCCAGCGCTCTACCACTTGAGCTACAGCGCCATTTCCGGTTTTCTGGTGGCTTATTGGAGATAGGAGTCTCACGGTCTCTCCTGCCAGGGCTGGCTTTGAACTGCGATCCTCAGATCTCAGCCTCCTGAGTAGTGGGGATGACAGGCGTGAGCCAGCAGCACAGGCTACCAGGGTGAAATTTGAAGGATGAATAGGAGTTTACCCAAATGCTCTCTGCCTAAGGCACGGGCTGGGGCTGAGAGAACCAGAAACCCTTGGTCCCGACAGAACAACCTGGAACTCAGGGAGCCTTGCTGGGTGTCAGGAGTCCCCCTTGAAGCGGATGTCCTGGGGTGGGGGCCTGCCCACCTTCCCTGGCATCCATGGCCGCTCACACAGGGCTGGGACTCCTGCCGCCACTGCCCCTCAGGCCTGGCCGGGCCCAGCATGGGGCAGGTGGGGCTGGCTGTCCAAGGGGCCTGGCGGGGACCGATCACCTGGACAGCCTGGAAGGCTCTGGCTAGGATGGGAATGAAGACTGGGGTGGGCTCCTGGGGCACCCTTGTGTGTGTGTGAGGGCACCCGTGTGTGTGTGCGTGTGTGTGGGAGTGGTCACCATCTGTCACCCATGTGAGGGCACCCGTGTGTCTGTCCCCTGTGTGTCTGTCACCCGTGTGTCTGTCACCCGTGTGTGGTCACCCATGTGAGGGCACCCGTGTGTCTGTCTCCCGTGTGTCTGTCTCCCGTGTGTCTGTCACCCGTGTGTGGTCACCCGTGTGTGGTCACCCGTGTGTGGTCACCCGCGTGTGTCTGTCACCCGTGTGTCTGTCACCCGTGTGTGGTCACCCGTGTGTGTCTGTCACCCGTGTGTGGTCACCCATCACCCGTGTGGTCACCCGTGGGTGGTCACCCGTGGGTGCGGACGCCCCGGGCGTGGACCTGTCGGCCTTTCCGGCCCCCCCGCAGGCCAGGCCCCGGGGTCGGCGCTCGCTCGCGGGTGGACGGCCGGCAGCGGGCCAAGCCTCAGTTTCCCCTCTGTAAAGGCCGGAAGCCAACTGGGGCGTTCCGTGTCCAGCTAGCGGCAACTTCCTGTAACTTCTGCGGGGCCGGCGCGGGGCCGCGAGGGGGAGGCGGGGCGAGGACGGCGGGGCGAGGACGGCGGGGCCGGCGCGGGGCCTCATTTATGCGCGGGGCCCCGCCCTCCCGGCCCGCGCGGGGCGTGGCCTCGCGGAGGGCGGGGCCGCGCGGAGGGCGGGGTCCGGCGCAGCGAGGCCGGAGGGAGGGAGGGAGGCGACGCGAGGGGGCCGCGCGGGCCCCACTCCGCGCTCCCCGGACGGGGTGGGCGGGCCCGGGCCCCAATGACGTCAACCCACAAGGCAGCGCGCTGTTGTGTCGTTTACCGCCCGTTGCTCAGGCAACAGAGGCCGCGCAGGCGTGGAGGGTCCGGCCCCGCCTCTATATGCAAATATAGACGTCACCCGGACCCAATGGGGAGCGGGGCCGGTGAGCTCATCGCGTCGGGCCGAGGCTATAAAGGGGCGGCGGCGCGGCGCGGCGCAGGAGCCGCCGCCAGCGGAAGGCCGGGCGCAGCGGCCGCGGCCGGGGCGCGCGCAAGGCCGAGCGATCTGGGGGGGGCGCGGGCCCCCCGGGCGGCGGCGGCGGCGGCGGCGGCGGTCGCCACTCCCCCCCCGGGCCGGCGCGGCGGGGGAGGCGGAGAATGGAAACACCCTTCTACGGCGATGAGGCGTTGAGCGGCCTGGGCGGCGGCAGCAGCGGTGCCAGCGGCAGCGGCGGCAGCGGAGGAGGGTTCGCGTCCGCGGGCCGCCTGTTCCCCGCGGCGGCCCCGACGGCCGCCCCGACGGCGGCCGGCGGCATGATGAAAAAGGACGCGCTGACGCTGAGCCTGAGCGAGCAGGTGGCGGCCGCGCTGAAGCCCGGCGCCGCGGCCCCGCCGGCGGCCCTGCGCGCGGACGGCGCCCCCGGCGCCGCGCCCCCCGACGGGCTGCTGACGTCGCCGGACCTGGGGCTGCTGAAGCTGGCGTCGCCGGAGCTCGAGCGCCTGATCATCCAGTCCAACGGGCTGGTGACCACCACGCCGACCAGCACGCAGTTCCTGTACCCGAAGGTGGCGGCCAGCGAGGAGCAGGAGTTCGCCGAGGGCTTCGTCAAGGCCCTGGAGGACCTGCACAAGCAGAACCAGCTGGGCGCGCCGCCCGCCGCGGGCCCGGGCGCGGGCCCCGGCCCCGCGGGCGGCTCGGGCGCGGGCCCCGGCCCCGCGGCCCCCGGGGAGCTGGCCCCCGCCGCCGCCGCGCCCGAGCCGCCCGTCTACGCCAACCTGAGCAGCTACGCGGGCGGCGCGGGCGCGGGGGCCGGCGGCGCGGGGGCCGTGGCCTTCGCGGGCGGCGAGCCGGTGCCCTTCCCGCCGCCGCCGCCGCCCCCGGGCGCGCTGGGGCCGCCGCCGCCGCGCCTGGCCGCGCTCAAGGACGAGCCGCAGACGGTGCCCGACGTGCCGAGCTTCGGCGAGAGCCCGCCGCTGTCGCCCATCGACATGGACACGCAGGAGCGCATCAAGGCGGAGCGCAAGCGCCTGCGCAACCGCATCGCCGCGTCCAAGTGCCGCAAGCGCAAGCTGGAGCGCATCTCGCGGCTGGAGGAGAAGGTGAAGACGCTCAAGAGCCAGAACACCGAGCTGGCCTCCACCGCTAGCCTGCTGCGCGAGCAGGTGGCGCAGCTCAAGCAGAAAGTGCTCAGCCACGTCAACAGCGGCTGCCAGCTGCTGCCCCAGCACCAGGTGCCCGCGTACTGAGCGCCCGCCCCCGGGCGGGGCGGGCTCGGGGCTGCGGGCGGCGCGGGCGCCCGCCCCGGGATCGGCGAGCCGGAGCCCCGCGCCCGCCCCGGACTCGACAAGCCGGACCCCCGCGCCCTCGGGGGCGAGCGCACGGCCCCGTCCCGCCGCCTCCCCGCCTCCCCTTTTTTACTGCTGCCGCGGAGAACGGAGGCCCGTCCGCCCTATTTATGTCTGTTCTCGGGATCAAGCGCCGGCCGGAGCGCGTGCGCGCGCGTGCGCGTCCTGCGCGGGTTTTTGCAGAAGTGGGAAGCAGCCGCAGACCCCGCCCGCCCCCTGCCGCCCGCCTCGCCCGCCGCCCCGGCTGTTGTTGTCTGGTTTTGCTACGAGGCCACATTCCTGTTTGTAATCCTCGGTCCGCCCGGTTCTCTGTTTTCAGTAAAGTCTCGTTTCGCCAGCTCGGCTGTCCGCCTCCTTCTTCCCCCGCGGGGCCCCGGGGCGGGGCGGCGGCTGGCTCCAGCCCCGGCCACGCCCACCGAGGGCCACGCCCACAGCGGACTCCGCTCTCGGCCACGCCCACCCCTGGCCACGCCCCGGCGGCGGCGCGCGCCCCCTGGCGGCGGCGGGCTCTGCTCCCCTCACGGCCACGGGACGGAGGGATGGACAGCCGGACTTGTGGGCCGGAGGGCGGAGAGAGAGACACTTTAGTTCCGGGCGTGGGCGAGGGGCCAGGCCCCGCCCGGCGCTCCCGCCTCTCAGGGTGCGTCGTGCGGTTTCCGCGGAGCCCGCCCAGCCTGGCGCGGGCTGCCCGGGACGCGCGGGCGGGCGCGGGGTGGCGCGGGCGCGCGGCCTCCCGCAGCCGCTTCCGCCCCGGAGTTGTGCGTCCTCTGCCCCGGCGCCGCCCGCCCCCCGGGCTCCACCGCTGGCCTGGGCCCTGGGTCTGCCCGGGGCTGCGGGCCGGGCCTGCCCTGCTCCCGCAGCGCGGGTCGCCCGGTCGCCCGGTGCGGGGTCTTCCCCGAGGGGACCTGTCGGCCTCTTGTTCTGGCAGCTTCGCAGGGTGGCCCCGCCAGGCTGCGCCGGCCTTGGCCTGACCAGCCATGAGTCACCCCCGCCAGGCCTCACACCCCTGAGGGCTGCGGTTCCCGTTAGATCCGAATCCCGGGCTGTCAGGCCTGGCCCTGCCCTGAGGAACCCGAGACTGACCGCAGGACAGGGCAGAGCTGGCCCTTCCCTCTAAGACCTCTCCTGGCCCCCTTGATAAAAGGTGACCGCTCCCTCCAACCGCAGCCTTCCCCTGGGCCTGAGGCCTGCCCTCCCCACGGGGCCTTGGCACCAGAGACATCCTCCTCCCACACCTTTCTCCCCCGTCCCCCCCAGCTCCTCCCCCGTGCCCTCTCCCCTCCAGCCTGTGCTCTGTGATTGGTCCATCCCCGCCTCTGCTCTGTGATTGGCCCATTCCCCTATTTGGTTTATTTCTTCCTAGCAGCTGTGTCTTCATTGTCTTTTTAGGCAGGAACTCACTTTGTGGTCCAGGCTTCTCTCAAAATCCTGACCCTCCAAGTGCAGGTATCACAAGGCCTGGCCCTGTTTAAGCTTGTTTGTTTGGCTGGTTGTGGGGCCTGAACTCTGGGCCTGGGTGCTGTTCCTCAGCTCTTCAGCTCAAGGCCAGCGCTCTACCAGTTGATCCACAGCGCCATTTCCGGCTTTTTCTGCTTCTGTGGTGCTGAGGAATCGAATCCAGGGCCTCATGCATGCGAGGTGAGCGCTCTACCACGGAGCCACCTTCCCAGCTCCCCTCTTTAAATTTTTGGTAGCCCCAGGCCAAGGAGCAAAGCGCAGGTACTCAAAGGGGCAAAGGCTGAAGCTGCCTCCAGAGGTAGACTGGAGATGTGAGGACCCTCTGCTCAGAGCTGGACTTCCTGCTTGGGAGGAGCAGGGAACGGGTGCCCCACCCACGGCCTCTGCCTTCTAGAATGTTGTCCCCCCCCTTCCCCCACGGCGGGGATTGGTTGGAGCCCTGTGAGTCACAAAGTTGCCAGGTACCAAGGTCCGGTGTTTGGGTTGGTGGGCTTAACTTCGGGGACCGGTGAGTGGGGGCATGGGGTACACAGGGATCTGGCCAGGTTTTCCAGGGCCTTTGAGTGCCTTTGCCCCCCCCCCCCCCCCCCGCCCCGTGCCCCAATGGTGGCAGAGCAGGCGTGGGCCCCCAAGGCCTTACATGGAGGACTGGTGACCCTGGGGAACCCCAGTTGGGGTCAGTCTGAGTGTGTGACAGATGAGGAAAATGAGGCTCCGGCATTTTCTCAAAACCACCAAACCAGACTCTGTGTCCAGGTGGCCCCATTTTCTTCTTCCCCTGTCCACAGTTGGCCCAGGCCGGGTTTGCATGAAGATCCTCACCTCTCAGCCTTCTGTGCAGCTCATTGTGTAGGGTGACAGGGCTGGGGAGGGGAGTCTCCCTGGACACAGCCCCTCCCCCAGGCTCCCTCCAGTGAAGCCCCAAAGCCGCTGGCCAGCTGCAGGGCGATGCATCACCAGCTGCACTAACAATGCCGATTGTGATCACTCTCCACAGGCATGGGGCGGGCCAGGGCTCACACTGTGTAGATAGGGGAGTGGAGCCAGAGGAAGGGGCCACTTGGGGCAACTCTGAATGCTTCAGAGCGGGAGACTCGGTGAGTCGGCCCAGCTGTGGATCTGGGGGTGCCGTGCGCAGGGAGCTCCGCGGCTCCGAGCCTCAGTTTGCTAGTGTTGGCTCTGACGGGGAAGCTGATGAGCTCCCCGGTCCCCAGAGCGAGGAGGCTGTTGAATCCCGCCACACCAGTGGGGACTGGCCTGTTTCTTTCCATAGTTCTACCTATGTGTTCTATTTCTTTTTTTGGGTTGGTCCTGGGGCCTGAACTCTGGGCCTGGGCGCTGTCCCTCAGCTCTTCAGCTCAAGGTGAGCGCTCTACCACTTGAGCCATAGCACCACTTCCACTGGAGATCAGAGTCTCACAGACTTTCCTGCCCAAGCTGGCTTTGAACCATGATCCCCAGATCTCAGCCTCCTGAGTAGCTAGGATGACAGGCATGAGCCTCTGGCACCCGGCTCAACCGATGTATTATTTATACTCTTTATCTATTTTGTAGCACTGTTACTGGGTCTGCGTATACATTGGACACTGTTTTGTCTTCTTGTAAAATGACACTTCAGTTAATATAAAATGTAGTTAATATAAAATGTAACCCTCATGATAGCCCATGTCAGTTTTGATAAGGATATGAGCATAGAATATAATCGGCATTGGCACACGCCCCCCCCCCTTTTTTTTTTCTGTCCTGGGGCTTGAACTCAGAGCCTGGATGCTGTGCCTGGTCATCTTTTTGTTCAAGGCTGATGCTCTACCACTTGAGCCACAGCTCCACTTTCAGCCTTTTGTTCACTGATTAGAGATAAGAGTCTTACAGGCTGCTTGGTCTGGGCTGGCTTTGAACCAGGATCCTCAAATTGCAGCCTTCTGAGTAGCTGGGATTACAGGAGTGAGCCACTGGCGCCCAGCTTTCTGATATTTTAGTGTGTCTTGTGCATGGACCCTGTATCATTCCTCCTTGTGTCGGTCTTAAGGACAGCGCCAGCCCAGAGCAGTGTTGCATGGACTGAAGAGCTGAGCCAGCGGACGCTCCAAGGTTCGCTTCTGAGACTGAGCCTTCTCCGCTCTCATCCAGCTGTATGAGCTTGGAAGGTGAGAAGATGGGCTGTGCTCCCCACCCTCATGAGGGATGGTAGATGGACGGGGGGAAGGACGGATGGGTGGGTGGATAGCTGGGTAGATGATGGGTGGATGGCTGGATGATAGGTGGATGGATGGGTGGATGGATGGATGGATGGATGGGTGGATAGGCAGATGGGTGAATGGATGGGTGGATGTGTAGATAGGTAGGTGGATGGGTGGGTGGGTTGGATGGTGGGTGGGTGTGTAGGTGGGTGTACAATGTTTTGTGTCTAGTACCAGGGTTACTAGAAAGTGTCCACACTCTCTGAAGGCTGCCTCCTCCATTTCACACCCAGACCCAAGGGCTGTAACGGAGACACAGGACTCCATCAGTGTGGGGACCAAATAACAATAGCCCACATTCAGACAGACAAGTGGCTGGAACTCACTGGGTAGCATGAGATTCGCAGTCAGTGTGGAGAGCAGAGCTCACTGGGTAGCATGAGATTCGCAGTCAGCGTGGAGAGCAGAGCTCACTGGGAAGCATGAGATTCGCACCGTGGAGAGCAGAACTCACTGGGTAGCATGAGATTCGCAGTCAGTGTGGAGAGCAGAGCTCACTGGGAAGCATGAGATTCGCAGCGTGGAGAGCAGAGCTCACTGGGAAGCATGAGATTCGCAGTCAGCGTGGAGAGCAGAGCTCACTGGGTAGCATGAGATTCGCAGCGTGGAGAGCAGAGCTCACTGGGAAGCATGAGATTTGCAGCGTGGAGAGCAGAACTCACTGGGTAGCATGAGATTCGCAGTCAGCGTGGAGAGCAGAGCTCACTGGGAAGCATGAGATTCGCAGTCAGCGTGGAGAGCAGAGCTCACTGGGTAGCATGAGATTCGCAGTCAGCGTGGAGAGCAGAGCTCACTGGGAAGCATGAGATTCGCAGTCAGCGTGGAGAGCAGAGCTCACTGGGTAGCATGAGATTCGCAGTCAGTGTGGAGAGCAGAGCTCACTGGGAAGCATGAGATTCGCAGCGTGGAGAGCAGAGCTCACTGGGAAGCATGAGATTCGCAGTCAGTGTGGAGAGCAGAGCTCACTGGGAAGCATGAGATTCGCAGTCAGTGTGGAGAGCAGAGCTCACTGGGTAGCATGAGATTCGCAGTCAGTGTGGAGAGCAGAGCTCACTGGGAAGCATGAGATTCGCAGTCAGTGTGGAGAGCAGAGCTCACTGGGAAGCATGAGATTCGCAGTCAGTGTGGAGAGCAGAGCTCACTGGGTAGCATGAGATTCGCAGTCAGTGTGGAGAGCAGAGCTCACTGGGAAGCATGAGATTCGCAGTCAGTGTGGAGAGCAGAGCTCACTGGGAAGCATGAGATTCGCAGTCAGTGTGGAGAGCAGAGCTCACTTGGAAGCATGAGATTCGCAGTCAGTGTGGAGAGCAGAGCTCACTGGGTAGCATGAGATTCACAGTCAGTGTGGAGAGCAGAGCTCACTGGGAAGCATGAGATTCGCAGTCAGTGTGGAGAGCAGAGCTCACTGGGAAGCATGAGATTCGCAGTCAGTGTGGAGAGCAGAGCTCACTGGGAAGCATGAGATTCGCAGTCAGCGTGGAGAGCAGAGCTCACTGGGTAGCATGAGATTCGCAGTCAGTGTGGAGAGCAGAGCTCACTGGGAAGCATGAGATTCGCAGCGTGGAGAGCAGAGCTCACTGGGAAGCATGAGATTCGCAGTCAGTGTGGAGAGCAGAGCTCACTGGGAAGCATGAGATTC